TCCTTATCGGAATGCCAATAATAGTATCTGTACGTGAAACGTCGTACATAAAAGGCTCAGTTGTGTCTCGAATCGGAACACTGATACACAGCAAAGTAAGTCTTGCATCATTTTCACCGAATTAACGGAGTTCCGCAATGTATACATGAATAGTTAGTTCAGTTCCCACTTTATCACGTGTCATCGGCCAATGATGTGATAAAGCGAGTTCTATGTATTTTGGTAGCTTGTATCATTCCAGCAAGATCTCATCTATCACACACCTATGTTTCAGGTACCTCGGATGCTGAGGCAACTTTTTTTCACTCTGACTTCTCTCTTTCTTGCGCTAGTTGTATCATTCTGCCAATTCCCAAAGTCGGTTTGAAATGAGTAAACTCCAAAGTGAAATCAGTTACCTCTATTCTAAAACATCTTGAGTAAAAATCGTTAATATTTGTAGTCAAGAAATACAAAGTTCTGTTGGAGTGATCAAAAAGTCCTCTCCACTATCAGCACCAATACTATCATTTATCATTTTTAATGCATTAGTGGTCATACTGCAATAAGCCGAATGATAAGGTGATTTTGGAAATAGAACGAGGAACATTAACCGCGATGACGGATAAAACGAGCCAGTGATGTTCGATTGTCGTTCACACAGCAGGGATGAGACAGCCGCTAAAAGATCATTCAGCTTTTTCAGGTTTAGTCCTGTTCAGAGAAAAGAGTCCGTAGCACGATGATGACAATGACCAATTACGTAAACGCCAGCAACTATAGTCACTCCACGATTTGTAACATACAGCAACTTTAACCCACTCTCCTTGCCGGTATATGTACTCCTGCGATAAAGTTAGTGGAAACATAAAGTGTCAATACAGAAAGAAAACAAATGTTGCGAGATGTTAACATTTCATTTAATCTTCTCAATCGCTGACCTAAAACTCATACACACGAAAGATTTTTGATATGATCAATCCGCCTACCGTGGATCTGAACGTCGACTTCTATGATTAGTAAGTTTGTGTGCTTGTACTCAGTCATTCACCCTAATTGAACAAAGCCATGTGCCAGTTTTATTTTAAGTCACCGACTGAGAAGAGTAAATGATATATTAATATCTCATGATATTCGTCTTCGTTGTGTATTGATGAAATTATGAAATGTATGGGGTACCCGGTAGAATTAGCACCTCTGATTCGGAGGGTTGTCAGCTCTTTTGGGGCAGCCTCCGTTCTTTGGTCTCCACCAGGCACTCAGCTCTCACCTGTGGCTCGAAGAAGATGTTTGGATGCAACAACGGCCACACCCCGGTAAACCGCTCGACGGGCGGGTCAAACCAGGTATCTAACGTACGTGTTGGGCGGACGAGGTCGCCTTCACGACTCAACGGTCAAGGCAATGAGTCAGTGCTCCTCAGGGATGCATGAACCTCTGTTCAGCTAGAAACTGTCAATGGCGTATGAGCTCCCCCCCCTACACACACACACACACACACACACACACACACACACACACACACACTCCCCGGAGGGGCACCAGCAACCATGCACCACGTTCCTGCTGCCTTGCAGATAGCACTTGGATGTGAAAAGGCTAGAGGTGCCACCTCGACCCAAATCCGGGTGATGCTAGGGACTTTCNAGAAATTTCATGGATGTTCACTTGATATCCATGAACCCGGCTTATCCTCTCCAAGGAATCAGCCGCCGTAAAGTAAAGTAAAAGTAAGATAAAGTGAACTCATTGCTTTGAAACATAAAATGTGCCAAGTAGATCGGCACTCTTGGATTTTTATTGCCAATACACATTTGAAAACGAAGAAACCTTCATTTGCATTTCGCATTTGAATTGGATCATTTCTGAAGTGGGTTCAATGTTCATTTTCATTATTTTTTGTTGTTTCGCTTTTCAATAGTCCGGTTCCAATCCCATATCCCCAGAACTACGTATCTCATGTTTTACAGCTCGCTGTACGCATCCAGTCTCTTCTGATATACACACATATACATCTAAACTCTCGTAACGGAATATTAGAGATAGAACGGAGACTAATCCATTTTATTCATGCGTGAATACGTTTTTTCACATCCGTGTGTTTTAAATCTCACAGAATACCAGTTACGGTGATAATGAGTAAGCAAAGGAGACCGTGTCCATAGACAGTTTTAACGCACCCACCCACTCCTTTGAACCGTATTGAACAACAGGGGAACATACATACCCTACTCAAATCCATAACTGCTGTCTTTTGATGCAGAAGACTGTAAACGAACAAAGAAGGTGAACTAGATCTTGCTCTGTCGATCTTAGAAACACGTTTAAATGGGATGTTTACGTGTAGAAAACCCCTAAGATTCGGGCATCAGTCCGGCATCTTCTTGTAGAACGGAACGATCATGATATCGTCTAGCAGAATTGAGTATTTGGCGAATGAAACAGTTTGGGGAATGATATGCAAACATCACTCACTCACATTTTCCGTGTGAGGTGGAGGTTCTCCACATTCCACTTGCGGAGGTACAAAATCCGGTTTTCATGTTGATCACGTGAACAAAGACGGAATATAAGATTTTCAGAACAAAATATTGATCATCGGTGAATATGATTCTCACCCTAGACCTAAAGTTCTTCAGCTCACATTTTCTCCATGAGTACTGTTCAAATGAGTTTTCAAACGAGTTCGATCAGGCATGTTACTAATTGTATGCAATTGTAGAAATAAATAACAACACGGAAGCAAATGCGGACTCATCAAATATCTGAGTGAGTGATTTCACAGCGTAAACTTCTAACAAAATAACGAGAGAAGTATACGAGACTTATTGGAAAGAATAGAGGTAGCGACAAGAAGAGAACCACGTGTTTTTCAAATCATTTTTAGTTGCATTCTTAGATAATGTATTTGCAAATCCAATGAAACTTTTTCAGAAAGAACTTGGTACCCCAGCGAAGCGTTAGTATGAAGATTGGCTATTTTAATAAAAACGAAATGGGTGGTAGCTCTCTGTTTCTCCCTGTCCCAGTCACCCCTGCCCCCTCACTACCTAGGATAAGCTCGATTCCTCAGTGTAGTGTTCCCCCAATAAGTGAAAATCATCTCTCCAGTATCTGAATATGAGGAAGTTAGTTTTAACCAGGCCAATACCGTTCATCCATTGCGTTGTGTGAGCAGCAGAAATTTCCCTACCCATCGGTAGGCCCCATCCGATTCCTTACCAGTGCAATCATAAATCCCAATAGAACCCTATAATTTTATCGTTTCACTGACAAAGTACACAACAGCCGAATTTCGTTTCAGACACAGAGATTATGCGTTGTTTGACTCGGCCAACTGGTACCCTTTTCCGATCATGTTACACCTCTCCCAGCAGCCAAAACTCGTCCACCATTCCCATCGGTTACCCGCGCTTCCCACCCACCCTCCACCCCCAGCCCCGCAAAATTTCTTTCTTTGTGAAACAGGTTTGATTTGATGCTGTTTTAGCCGGTGCAACAGTTCAAACGGTAGCTGAAATTGAAAATATCATAGCTTGTTGGTCGCCGTCTGCTGTAGTTGTGGTTGTTGCAAGTTTAGGTATGTGTGGGGCGTCGGGCTGGTGGAATTGGAAAGAGAAATCAAGAGCGAGTGAGAGGGATTCGAAGCTTTCACAATTGTAAACCCACACACGTCCCTCAAGCCCACAGTTTGTGAACTTTAAATGCGTGCGTGTACACACGTATGCAAATAGACAGAGAAGTATATGTAGACGACACTGTAGTGCCCCAGAGTAACTAACATGTTTCCTAATGGTGTCTTTTCCATGCATACACACACACGCGAACCGATAGACAGTGGTTCGGCCGAATAAAGGTGGCGGTCACAATTTAGATGAACATTTTATACCAGTCTACAGAGGAGCCGCGCAAAATCGAATCATGTTTTTTCAGGCCTCATTCATCCGCCCTGCCGCGTGTCCTTCACGCGGGCTAAGAATACGGTCCCACCGGGAAAAATTTATTTACCAATTTATTTATTTTACCCACCACGCATTCACTAAGTCGAACTTTATGGACACAAACACGCACATGTGAATTGCACACCCGTGCACGGTATACGGGACTGAGTACGAGTATCAGAGTTTACGACATTTCATGGCCGGCACATTGCTATCATAAATGGAGAGTTGCAATCATGTGACACAAGTTTCAGTGCATGTTGTCAGAACACAATGAAAAACTTAGTTGCACCATTAATCTTGCACCTCCCTCTCTCCCTCTTGTCCTGTCCGGGAACTGCGAGAATGTAAAAATGTTCGCATTTCGTTAGTCTAGAGGTACGTAGGTACTATACATAATTGCATTCAGGAAAGACGATTTTCATGCGCACGCGAGGACTGTGTAGTTGTTCGCGGTGAGTACCCAGAGGCTGCGATTTCACACCAGGGTGAAGGGAAGTATGCACACACGGAATACAAACGATCAGAAATCGGTTATAGTTGGTTTGATTAAATTGATTAGAATAGATCCGCAAGAACTCGAATCTAACGCTATTGGAATGGTGATCTTAAGGTCGCACGGGGTGGGGTGGGGTGGAGTGAAAGATGTGGCAATGGTGGTGGTGGCAGCGATGAATAGGAGCAGAATAATAATCCATGATACTATAATTCAATACACTATCGACCGTTATTGAGACAACCGCTGTCCGCTGGCGCATTTCTCATACCATCATCACGAAAGAATAGACTTTGGTCACGAAAACCCCATATCAGAAGTAGCAACACTAAGATTATTAATAAAAATGCTAAAAATGTCCATTTTTTGCGTGTTTATGGACTAATTGAGTATTTTTTTTAATGAATAAAATGTTTTGATCGGATAATTTTTATTGCGTGTACAATGCAATAGGGCAAGAAGTATCATATTGTTTAAAAAGGTAATAAAACGCTGGAGGTCAAACCGGTAGAAAAATATTGCTGACATTTTTTTTTACAATGGACGTACTCACCAAACTGCACATATCATCGTAGGTCTGTTTGTTATCTGGCAAACCCTGGATTATCATAGGCCGCTAAATGGTGTTGTTGTGAAAGATACGGGAAGCACAGTAAAGGATTTCGACTACCTGACAGAACAGAATGTGGTACGTTTGGTGGGTGCAGCCCGTAGACATCGGCAAACGGGATTGTTTGCTGATTGGTGGACGAACTGGTATAGCCAGCCACTGTGACTGTGAATAGGTCAAAGTTTTGATAAATGCACGGATACAGTTTCTCATCGAATATACGTGTGGTCTGATTGAGGAACATGACCGGGCTCAGAGATTGTCGTTTGCAAAACGCGGCAAACGAATCGCATTCAGTCAGATGTTCGATAACACTGGGCCGATTGAAAATGACAAAGAACACGGGACGGTACGCTCGATGTAGATGTTGTCGGATAGTGGAAGCTCCGCTAGTCACAGTATTCCTTCGGAAGGAATGCGGTGTATTGCTCTCAGGTGAGGCGTGTGATTGTGATGGATGACCGGAATTCTTAGTCGATTCAGTCGAGCTGGAACCGATGGCGGAACCGGGAGAGCCCGGCGTATCATGGCGAGATCCAGCTCGAACTTTACTACTTGTAATGGTCAAATAGTCACTGGGTAGGATATCGAAGAAGTATTCGGAGACTGGACTTCCCCCAGGATTTTCAGCCGGTTTTTCCTCGCCGTGTTTGCAGTGATCTGGATCGATTGGATGACCTTCAGAATCCGGTTCTTCAGAACGGTGTTTCATTAAGAGTATAAGGTTTCGATAGCCATAAATATCTGATCGACTCGCTTCACCACCAGTCATGGAGGTAGACAGAAAATGCGTCACAATACTTAAATTATGACAATTTTCTCCCCCGACCTCATTGTGTCGTAACCCGGGTAGTGTCCACATTTCACCCAATCTCCAAGTCAGCTGTTCATTGGTCACGGCTAAGGGACAAGTTTTAACACATTTCGAATAAGTACTAGGACGAAGACCGACATCGAATAATATCGCGGGGGTCAACTGATCAAAAGATAAATCAGTTATTCTTCCCAGTTTGATGGCTTTCAAGATCACATCAACCACATAATCTGCAGCAGCATGAATGGAATTTAAACCACGTAGCATTCCGAGTTGATACTCATAAATTATGCATAGCTGTTGACCGAAAGCAGATAACTGCTTCTGTCTCGTTACTTCGGAGGTCATATCGAAAAATCGTACAATAAATGTTTTTTGGTGCATTGTAGCCTTTCGCCAAGCACCAAAGTCAGTGGGACTTTGAGGACTAGAGTTGCATTTGTCGTTCATCGGATTTGAGTTAGATCGCATTTTCGCACAATACTTGTCTTCATATATCCCCACATTCCTGATAGCCGCAAAATCCATTTGATCACTGCTTGATAGTAAACATGCCTTTGTTTGTTGCCCGGAATGTGAGAACCGTCGAAAAAGCGGAGAGTTGGTGAGAGAACGAATCTTAACTAGAGGTGATCTTTCATTGCGAGATGGATTGTTCTTCTTGATGGCTAAGTCATTCTGAGAGAGACAATCTTTTCCGCTTGATTTACGCTTCCCCTGACGGACTTGATCCTCTAGTAACTGCCGCAAAAGCGAAAGTTCTCCGGATGCACTACGATCATATGCTGTTTCGTTGGGTGACCACAGAAGAGGGGATAACAAAGGGGAGGAGTTTGGAGAAATCCTGCTCACGGAGTTTGAAGTTCGGGAAACAGCATGCAACAATTTCACCTCGAATGACTTCACTAACCGATGAACAAACCACTTAAGATTAAGGAGAATTTTCTCACGGTTTGGGGATGAGGTCATAGTGAAGCACACACGTCAGGAGCGCATGCCTGGGGTGCGCAAGCCTTTTATACCCCGTGGGACAATACGCAACCAATCAACGTATTCGTTTGTGAATTGATGAAAATGAAAAGATATCCTTTCAAAATTACCGTGAAACATGATTCTACCTTTATCTGTCGTGAAATTACAAAAAGCTGAATCATTACAAGCACGACAGAAAATTGTTTAAACGCTTAGAAATTAAAAATACCTTGATGGTAATTGACCTTGCGGTACAGTGGCGCGCGGTTTGGAAATATAAATTGCAATCGGTCGTTTCATTCTTGGCAAGTCATTTGCACTCTCAATTGATATTCCAGTTATATCTCATTGAAAATCGTAGTATTTTTTCGGAATTTTTGATTTGATCTCCTCAGGGGCCAGAGGATGCACTCACGGCTCCTTTGTCCTCGGCTTCTTTTGTATTATTCAGATAATAAAAAAAATTAGGTAATAGATGAACACCAAACATCACTTTTTGCTCAATTTAATATCAAAGGCGTTTCAATGCTTCTCTAAATTACTATTCATTTCAGAGTGTAATGGTGATTAACGTAGTAAGCTATGAAGAATATGAAGTTCCCTAAACTAAACGTGCTCGACATTGTGGTACCAAACCGGAAACGTTTTTTGTTTTCATGAAGTGATTTTAAGTTGCGTAAAAGCGAATAAAATTTGGCTACCGAGTACAAAGCTCGCGATATCTTCCGCATGCCAGTTCACAGAAGAAGACAGGTAAAGCTCCAACGATCGTTGATATTTCAGTTCGGTTCAATTCAGTTTGCATAAGACGGAGGTGGTCGAGACCCATCGTTCGTCCAGATCGCTGTGTTGTCGGCTAGTTGCCTTTGCTATCAACACTGCTCGCCAACGTCCGATCTGCTGTTTTCCCCTAAAGGCCGAATTTTTAGATGCACTATCACATCCACCATATACGTCTAATTGTAATACATAAATATAAGAACAAACACCCTGTTCCCTTATCGCCTCTCGAGTGGCCAGCTCCGGAAATATCGCGTTATGGTACAGATCCAAAACTTCTTGAAGGCCACCACTGTTGAGCAGCTTATGACGTACCTCGGTAATTTGTTCGACAAAGGCACCACACGCTTCGTAAAGAACCTGGCCCTCAATTCCAACCTGGAGTGCTCTCTTTACAGCTTAAGGCTATAACCTCAGTCTGGTGCAGGAACGAATAGGCTGTTTAGTTCTATACCGGACAACCTCTTGACTATCTTGAAGGCTTCTTTTAAGTCGCCCCTAGTCCTTCGGCGTGACATCGAGAAAAGATTCAAGTCCTGCAGACGGTGAGTAGCTCTTCCCTACCTGTCCAGTGACCATTCTGGTTGCCAGTTGTATCCTCTGTAG